CCTCCTCCTCCTCCTCCTCCTCCTCCCCTACTTCTCCTTCCCGTCCTCCTCCTCTTCCTCATCCTCCTCCTTCTGGTATATATGAAGAGGAGCTCTTCATGGATCGTCCACGGCGACAGCAAACTCAAAAACGAACCGAAACGACGCCTAAACCGAGACCGACCGACACCGATAGACCGAAGTGCGGCGCGGCCTGGAGGGACGTAGCGGTGCAACGACCGAACCACGTCGACCGAGAGCAGCCGACTGCGAAACAACCAGGACCGACCGAACAGTGGACACCCCTGCTCTCCCTGGGGCCGCTCTGGACAGGTGACCCGCGCGCGTCTGTCGGCGACTCCGAGGGGTGTGGCTTGCAAAGGGTCTGTTTTGAAACCCGCGCCTGGTGGGGCCGGCGAGGACCTCAACAGAGATCTCCGCCGCGCAAAGCATTGGCGCAACGCCTTGACCCCGAGCAAAACCCAACGGCGACGATCGCAAACCACACCTGGGCGTATCCACACCCATTGTATAGTCGCCGAGGGGTGCCTTCTGACAAGGATCCTGATGCGAATTCAGCCGCGGCGGCGGGGGTGGGTCAGCAGCATCTGAAGTCTGGGGGCCTTCCAAATGGACCCCGTCGCAACCACGCCCATCGTAATCGGCAAGTCCCCGGGGTTGCTCAGGGTGCCCCTGGCCCAGGGTGCCCCCCAGCTTCCTGGCCAGGGGACCCCAGCTTTTCGCTCCATCTTGAAGCCCCTGGAGCCTCTGGGCCTCGTGAAGGGTGCTCGGGAGGCCGTCTGGGTTTCCCGGGAGCATCCTGCGGGCACCTTGGGCCACAGGGGCAACACCCGAAAGCTCGGACGTGGAGGCGGAGGCGACCGCCCGGTCCTCCGCGACAGCGTCCGCCGAGAGGCCGTCGGCTGGCCGCCGCGGGGGCTCGTCGGGCACTGCCGCGCCTGCGGGGGCCGCTTCTGCTCGCCTGTGCCTCCTGCCAACGACCCGAGAGGGAGAACGGGTGCAGTTAAACCTGATAGTTGGGATGCGCAATGAGAATGCAAGGGCCTTGGACGCCTATGTCAGAGCTTTTCGAACGGGGCTTGCCATCGAAAGTGGTTGGGGATGGACCTGTGGGCAAGATGTAAGTCCATATGCAGCCTGGGGGTTCGGGCTCCCTTCCCCAGAAACCCGGGGCGCAGTGGATGTGGATACGCATCTAACCCCTGGAGGCTCGATTCTTATCCATATCGGGAGCGCCTCGGCCCTGTGGCACCCTTTTAAAGAAGGTCCAATGCGTGCTGAATATGAATACACATCGTGCCCGCACATCCTGCCAACCACTCGGGGATGAGAACGGTTATCGATGCCATGCTGCCGTTGGCAGCCCGTCAGCGTGCTGCTCCTTCGCTTTTACCCCCTTTGCCTGCGCACGAATGCACCCTTGTGCCTGCGTGCGCCGCCAGCGTGTACATCACAATGGCGGCGTACACTACAAACCCTGCGTACACCTCCAGGTGCCCGACGGTGTAGACTTCAACAAAACATGACTGGCCCGAACGTATCGAATTCAATATGCAAGTTGTTTGTGCTCATTGTTTTTCTGGCCACGGGCACGGCACCGAAACCCGTGGCCTGTGCGTACAACAATACCAATGTATACCACAATGCATGGCACCACCACGCCTGTGTGCACCATAACTGCCGCCGAAGCCTGGGTGTGCGCTATGCACACCGAGCTGGTTCTCTTCCAATGTGAGTGAGCCACCGCGCCTGCGCGGGTGCCACAACAGCCTGCGCGCGCCCCGCGCCTCTACACTCTACATACCACAATCACATGCCTGCGCACACTGCGAACACGTTGCGCGCACTACGAAGAGCATACCTGTGCGCTAAGCAACCGGCGCTGCTGCAACAGGGGTTGGTGGGGCAATGAGCGTTACGCTATCTACTGCGTGGGTGGATGGGTTGAAGGACACATAATGCGCATTATGTTTTCACCAAAAACTTCCAGCTCTAGTGAGATCTATAGAGAGGTGGGTGATGTGATCGATGGCGAGACCGATCTTTAAACAATTCGACCAAGAACCCGGGAACCCGGAAACCAAAGAATCCCGCAACCCACCGAAATCGGCCTGGAAACAACAACCGGGACCCTGAGAACCCGGGACCGGGAATACGGGAACCCGGCCAGCCACCGAAATCTGCCAGCAATTTTCGCAAAATCTTCCAATCTCCGCTACGACCCTTCAGTGCAAGCACTGATTGGGGAATAAAACTCAATGGCCAAGCCTCGGGTGTATGCGGGTTCGTGGGCATCCGTCTACCTCCTCAACACCCGGAACGGTTTATCATCGTCTGCGTGTGAGTTCGCTCGTCAAACACGCTTTAGCAGCGCACCAAACAACCATCGTCCCCGCAAAAACGGTGCTGCTTGGAGGTAACAAAGTCATTCACCACAACCGTTTCGTGGTGAACAGGCATCCAACCCCGCCAGGCAACACAACTTGTGTCCTTTGACGGCTTCGGGCGCCCGCCGAACGATTTGCTTGCGCGTGCCGCAGAAAATAGCTGAGCGGCCCCCATCGCACTTGGGCGTGATCTGCTGGTTTTGTGCCGCCAAACCACACATTCCAACCGCCACCCGCGCTGACGGTCATGCAAGTATGCGCCCTTGGAAAACAACCCCCGTAACTAATGGCCCGTAGACGGCTCCCCCAGAGGTCAATTTGAAAGGGCCTGTCCAAGCACGGTGCTTGTACTGCATAATGAAATCGTTGGGCCTCATCTCGCACCGCAGCCCGAAGAACCTTGACATGGGCCACGGACCACACTGGGGCCGAACCAAAACGGCAACGTGGGGAAGAGACGGAAAAACATGAGGGGGCGGACAACAAAGGGGCAGGACAGGAGGGAAGAGGAGGGAACGGGTGCGGGCGGTATACTAAGAAACAACAGCCACGCGCAAGAGGGGCCCGAATGGCACGCGTGGGCGATGCAACGCGCGTGGGAATACGCTCTAGGGGATCGGTGGGATCCGCGTCCTGCTGCTGCCCTGGATCCTCCGCCCTTTATCCGACGATCGGTTGTTGGCTCCTCCTCCCGAGCCTCGTCCTCACCGCCTCCTCGCCGCCCTCACCCCCCCTATCCCGCAGACGCACACACACACACACACCAGCAGCCGCCATCCCCACTGGCCCCTGCCACTCGGCGGGGGGAGCGGGCGCCGTACGCCGTCGGACAATACGCCCGCCGCGGGAAGCTCATCCCGTCCCTGCCCCCTCCCCCCACCCGGCCGCCACCCCCGACGACCATTGCCAGCCCCGACGACCATTGCCAGTCGATGGGAGGCACGGACGAAAAGCATCATTGGACAGGGCTCGCGCGATCCAGCAAGGGGCCCCTGGCCCTCCTTGATCTCCCCTCTTGCCACACATGTGTTACACGTTTCCCAGCTCTTAAGACCGCGTTACTGGCCCTCGTATACATTCATGACGGCCCTCCTGGGCCCGTCCTCGTATTCTTCCTTCTTCGCTCTTCAACTTGCAGGTGGGGGGGCAGGATTTGTGCGCCATTTTCCCCTGGTCCACCGGCTACTTCCTCCTCCACACTCCCTTGTTCCATATATGTCTTCTGTATTTCCTCCGCCCCCTCCTCCTCGTCCCTCATCGTCTCCCCCTTCCTCCTCGTTCCTTCTTCGTCGCCTGCTCCCCCAGACCCCTCTTTCCCAATCTCCCATCCCCGCCTCCCCCCCGTCTGCCCACCCCCCTCTTCGCCTCATTCCCTCTGCCCCCGCCGCCTCCCGCTGACTCTGGACGGCGCGCTTCCCTGCGGGCCCGCGAGGGCCCGAGTCGACCGACGCTCACGCGGCGCTCTGCACGGGGGCCACGTCGGAAGCGCGGGCTGAACGGAACGCCAGGGAGGGGGCCAAATCCTCCAACGACGCGGGGCAAGCCCGCACTCTAGGGCTCCCAATGTTGCACCATGCTCGCGCGAGTGGGCAAGACGTCACCATCAGCGCGGGCTCCCGCGGAACCTCCTAGACCGACTCCCAGCCCCTGCCTCGTCGCCCCTGCTCGGCGTGCAGGGGGGCGCCAGGCACAACAACCAACACCGACAGGTCGACCGCTGGTCGGGGGGGAGGGAAGCCACACTTACGGGTAGAACAAATACCTGATTACCCCCTGAAGTGACCAACAGAACGCTCTTCCCAACCAAGGGCTCCTAAGTTCGCGCTTCGCGCTGCGCGAAGCGCGAATAACTTCGCGCCCTCGCGCCGCCCCCCCGAAAGGGAGAAGAGGAGGACGAGGAGGAAGGGGAGAAGGAACGAGGACCGCGAAGCGCGAAGCGCGAATAACTTCGCGCCCTCGGGGGAGCCCTTGATAATCGGACGCTGCCCCCGTCGACCTTCACTGATCGATGGGAGGCACGGACGCCGAGCAGACCTGACGTCATCGGACAGGGCGTCTCGCGCCGCGCGGATCGTTCCCCCGTTAAAAAATAGCCGAAAGCAGCACATGTTCAACCTGCAACGCCCACGCCCGCGCCATCGTTGCAGCACGGAGTGACGCGTTACGATAATGGCAATGCGTCTTCAAGTGATACCAGGGAACATCTCCGTTACCCCGACACCCTGCATACACACAAACTCCGAACATGGGTGCGTGTGTAGGACCCCGCAAACAGAAGAAGTGCCCCGTAATCGAGATGACCCCGCATGCTGCGCTTACTGTCACACGAATACTTCCAAGCCGAATCCTCGTCTTAGTTTCCGCTGCAGGATTGCAATAACCATTGCAGCACGCAATGTGTGTTGGGCGGCTACGTTCCCGGGGTGCGTTCTGCAAGTTTCTATCCTGTCTGCCCGAATCTGCCCTCCAAGGTGCTGCCAACAGCCAGCGTATCATCAACAATGATATCTTCGTTGGTGCAGCTCGCAATCATCCCCTAGGCTCCGCGCCCAAGCTGTGAAATCGTTTCGACATCGCCACAAATACCAAGAATACCGACAAACGTGACAATCATCTTGGTGGTGGCTATGACTATGGCAACGCCCATCAACCACAACATGACCAAACTATTCACCAACACCGGCAGCAAAAGCTGCGCCGGTAGTGCGATATATCTGTGCGACTAGATACATATAGGTATATGTAGAATGTACACGTGTGCGTACGTATCGACTCCGCACGATATGATCACACTGAGCATGCGCTGTTCCCTGCGACATGCCATCTATGACCCAATACACTATATTTATCATCAACACCCAGGACCCGAGAGGAAGGCCTATTTCGCGGCTGACCATGCCGATGTTCCCACAATCGCCACCTTCAGCATCAACACTGGCCGACCCGTCATCGTCGACAGCCCCAACAATCTGGTCTCGATTTTCTCGAGACACGGGCCCCCGACCTCTCGACCGCTCCCCCGGGACAAGTTTTCGTCCCGTGTGGTGTCTTGACAGTCCTGAGGCTGGCCGCGGGCCTCGAGAGGCCGAAAACTATGAAAATCCGTCCCGATCTTGTTCGAAACGCCCGATGTCTCGGGCTGCAGCGGGAACAAAAAGTCGGCGCCGCGCTGCCTTCCAGCGCCGCCTGCGCGGCGAGGTGCGTCTCGCCCGAGGCGGGCGGCGCCTGCGCGTGGGCGTCCTGCGCGGGGCGCCGCTGAGGGGCGCGGCCGCCCAGTGGGAGCGCCAGATCCGCGCGCGCGCCGCGTTGGCGCGCGCGCGAGCCCGGGCGGGGCGGCGGAGGCCGCAGCATCGATGGGGAACATGAGAGCCCGGTGCTGTGAGACGTGGGGTGTGTGCCCCTGACATGGTGTGCAGGCCCTCCTGGTCAAGGCGAGGGAGATCTATGCAGCCTCCATGTGCCCAGGATGGCCCTGGCCAGGCAAGGTGGTGCACAGATGCCTTCTGCGGATGTCAGCTGGGCGACCAAGAGAAAGGGGTCTTACGCACGAGGACGCAACGACCCTTCGCGGGTGGCTCTCGCGGGCCGCCAGCCTGCAGTCGACCAAATTGTTCGAGTCGCCCAGTGTTCTTCAGCAGTCCCAGTATTTGCGCGGTCACATCGTGGCCGGGTCGGGACATCGTGGAGCGCACATCCAGTGAAACACAGCGAGACACAGTGAGGCTCATGGCCAAGATGGCTTCTCCGCGAGAAGCCCCACAGGAGATCGCAAAGTCATCAGACGCAGCCATCACCCGAATGTCTGTAAGAACCTGCTGAGCATGCTGGCAGCGGCGCTGGCTGGAGGCTCCATCGCTTCAGGATCCCAATACCCCTGCCGATTACAACGGAAGTGCAACATCAAGAATACGAGCAGTGAGAAGGGCTCGCTCGCCCGAGCTTTGCACAGCGCCACACCCTAGACGTACGGAGACGGACTGCATACACAGGAGAAACAGAGAGCACGCACACTGCAGGGCCCGCCCTTTTGCCTGCTAAATCTCCACCATTTTCCCTTTGCCTATACATCCAGACTATTGTCTGGCCGTTCCTGCAGCTGGAGACGACGCCCTGGTGACTTGGATCGAATCCAGCCGAATCCAAGCCCGCTCCGAGACACCTGCACACTGCCGATCCCGCGACGCCTTCGGTCGAGGCGATGGTCAAGGCCTTCCACGGCGACAACACAACCGACAACCGACCAGACTCACAGAGACACCATAATCAACCGAATCCAACAGGTCGCAGGCAGCCTGCAAGGGCGCAACGAAGCAACAACGACACAACAAGCGAACGAACCGAACCAACCAGACGCAACCAACTGCGACCCGACCGAACCGACCGAACCACGGACAAGGAGGGGAAGAGAGACCGGGAATCAGGAGGTAGAATCCTTCTTTTCCCCCCTCCCCCTGAGTCGTCTTCCCCTTCGAGCACAAAGCCCTCGGCACCACAGCAGCCATCGCGAGTAGCCCGGGTCCTCCTGGTGGTGTGGCCTGCATCTTCACGGCGCCCCGCTCGAGACACCTCCACTGTCCTGCTCGGGGGAGCATTCTGGAGAGCCTCGCTGCAAGCGCCCCCTGGTGGTGGTGTCGCGTCTTGTCCCTCGGCGTCTCGGACACGCAAGGGTGACCATAGGCAAGACTGACCTTAGGTGCGCGGCGTGATGATCGATGCCTGCGATGCGGCATTGACGGCCCGCGCGTTCGGGTTGGGGGCCCCCCGCACCCCACGAAAACCACGCACTAAGAGGTCACTCCGGCAAAGGGTCACGCGCCTCTTCCTCCTCACCCTTCCTGGGGCCTGGGCGAGGTGCCCCTCTGGCGAGCAAGCAGGTGCTTGACGGGCCCCCGAGTCCCCACTCGTGGCCCCCCCCCCTAGGCGTTCTAGTGAAATCAATATCGTTCAAGGGGGCGTGAATAAGGAGGCACGGCACCTAGAGAGCACACCAGAAGGATGCCAAACGATCCTACCAAGACTGCACCTTGACCTAGAAAGCGTGCCGACGATTTCTCGCGCCCATTTCAGTATTGCTGATTCTGTCTGTGGGGCTGTAAGATTCATTGCCTCTTCTCCGTGGTGAAGGGCAAGAAAAGAAAGGAGGCTAGCTGCTGCTCAAGGGGGCACTTCCGTTTCGCGCGGGGGCAGCCCAACTCGGACGAGGGTTCGCCCGTCAGCATCCGGGGAGCCTCAGGCCGCGCCGAGCAGCCGTGACAGCAGAAGCCCGCCCAGTCCCCACGAGACAGACGTGCTCAGCAGCGAGAGGTGGCCGCCGTACATCTGCAGCGCCTCAATCAGCAGGCCGCCAACATACACGGAGGAGGCGTTCATCGCGAGGGAGAGGGCGAGCGGGAAGGCCACCAGGTCGCCCGCCACGCACCGCAGGTTGCCCCACTCTGCGAGCACGACCAGAGCCTCGACGGCGCCGACGCGGAGCACCGGGGGGGCGTCATCGAAGAGGACGTCAGCCCAAAACCACGCGCAGGGGTGCGTGAGAAGGGAGCCAGCGGCGCACGCCGCGAGCACAAACGCGACGGCCCCGTCGCCGCAAGGCTGCTTCCTGGTGCAGCTGCCGACCGCCCACCAGACCCGCGCCACGGTCAGCTCGATGACGAGCGTGAGCGCCAACGCCAGCGCCTGTGAGAGCTCCAAGCCTGTCACGGTCTCGGCCAACTGGGCGCCCGCCCACTTGAGCAAAGGCCACAACGGCGACTGCAGATGCGGCCGCGGCCGCTCTCTGGACCACGCTGCCTCCTCGCCCAGCTGCGTGAAGCAGGAGGACCGGCGCAGTGCGTCGCTCACCTGCAGGCCATGGTCACAGAGGTAAGGCCCGTCGAAGCCGTTCAGGTGGACCAGATCGGGCAGCCTGCAGGACGACGCCGACTACACACATGTGTGCGTACCTACCCTGGCCAAGCCCATCTTGGGCCCAGGATGGCGAAATATGCGCTCTGCTGGCCCGTCCAGAAGGCTTGGGCGGCTTGGGCCGCGATTGGCCTGCCTGGCCAGGATCGGTGATGGTTGGGTCGTTTGCGTCCCCCCGGCCTGCTCGCGCAACCTCTGGTTGACAAGGGGCCAAGGAATCTGGCGCAGGGAGCCCAGAACCAGGGAGCGACTGACTAGAAGGGGAGAAAGAAAAGGAAGGCAGACCAAGATTGTCTCCCTCGCTATACCTCCCTCCCGTGTTACCACCGAGCGGAAACGAAGCGTGCGTGAGACAACCGGCTTGCCGCCCCCCCAACCAAGGCCGTCGAATGAGAGACGCCCTGGTGCTCGCCGACGGTCGGGTACATGGTAGTGTCATAGATCGAGGAGGCCGAGCGGTCGTACACTGTTCCTGGGTGCACTGCCGTGGTCGAGGCAGAGTTCTGTCGTGCGGATTCTCGTTGTTGACGTCGTCGCCCCGCGCCCCGCCCCGCGACCCACTCCGCTCCCCGACCCACTCAGCCTGGCCCCGCGACCCACCTGTTGCGGCCCGCCCTCCGACTCGCCCCGAGATCTGCCCGCGACCCGCACCGGGGCCCGACCCGCTCCGGCCCACTCCGCAGACCGCTGTGCGATGAAGCCGCCCGCGTCACCGCCCCGCGCCGACGTCGCGCCCTACGACCTACCCGCACTGCTCTCGTGAAGGAAGCGGCCCCTGCTGCGGGCTGGCCGTCGCTGCACCGGCACTGCTGTGGGCGGCCGCCTTCGACGCGAGCCCCCCGAGGCCCGAGCCCTCCCGCGCGTGCCCACAGCAGCTGCCACGGCAAGCCATGCTCGGCCCTGACCTCGGCGCAGACCAGGACCCCCCCCCTCCTGGGCTGGGCCACGCACCCCGGAGGGGGAACGCTAGGGGAGGGAGCTCAAAAGGGGAAACATCGAAGGAATCGGCGATGCACCGCCGGTAGATCCGCGACAGGCCCCCGATGGCGAATCCGCACGTTCCTGGGCGGGGATGGGCTATCGGGTCCCTCTCGGCGATGCATGGGCGATGCGTGGTCGGTGCAAAACCCTCAGCCTATCCCCCCCTAACGTTGGCACTCCCCCCTCTGGCTTCCCAGCCGTTTGGACGCTCGAAATGGGTACGGAAACAAATGGGCACGATGACCAACAACAACTGTTGCTCCTAACCGATAACGGCCGCTGTCGGGATGGCGGTCCTCTGCCTAAAATGGACAACGTCCGCGGCGACACCGACAGCGAGTCCTGTTCAAAATGAACAAGACTAAGGGAACAAGAATGACGTAAACAGAACAACTCTGAGGCCCTTGCAAGTTCCTCAGATCGGCGCTGGGGCCCCCTGGCGGCGCCTCCGGCGCCGATGCGGTAAATCTGCGCGGACCTCAGAGCTCTTCTGTCTATGCCGTTGCTTGTTCCCCTAAAGAACCTTTTTTCGTTCTTCGCCCCCCCCCCCCCTCTCCGTACCCATGCCGATCGTACCGAAGCCGGCCCTCGGCGCCCGGCCCGAGACGCGCCGCCGCCGGCACCAGCCGCCCCACGAGCGCCCGCCGGATGCCGCCGCCGCCCCCGAGCGGCAGGGACCGGTGGGGCGCGTGCCTCGAGAAGAACACGGCGTCGCCCCGCCTTGCGCCGTAGGTGGTGCAGGCCGGGGGGCCGCCCGCGCCCGCGCCCGCTGGCGCGTCGCAGACCTCGATGCCGCCGGCGCCGCCCTCCGCGGGGGCGTCGTCGAGGGCCAGCCAGAAGCTGATGCCGGCGACGCCGGCGCCGGTGAAGCAGAGGGGTCGGCGGCTGCAGCAGGGGCGGACAGCCCAGCGGGGGCCAGGGGCCAGCGGAGCGATACACGCGAATACAGTCGACCCATACAGGATAGTGACGCACGATGCGGAGGCCAGGGCCCGGGAAGGCCATGTCGAAGCTTTTCGAGCGGGGCGCGGCCGACGAAGGTGGCCAAGGATGGACCGAGGAGGTAAGGATGCAAGGGTACCCTTGGGAAGGTTGCCCATCCTTAATTACTGTGCGGGTTGACTCTGGGTGGCGGCATACGAACCCTACCCGCACCAGCCATCGATTGCTCCGAATCAGTGGGAGGCGGGGGGGTAGGGTTCGGATTTCGCCCCGCGTTCGACGAATTCAGAATCCTATCCCCGCCGCCCATCGAATTCTCTGGACTCTCGATCGGCGCGGGTCGGGCAACGAGGCCACATCCGCCCAGAATCGGTCCCCAGACCCCTTCTTGGGGTCCGTCTGGTGCAGCTTTTCACACCGGATCCTCGAGTGCCCGGTTTCGACTGCCCCAGAGCCCGAAACCGGCCCCCGGAGACCGAAACTGACCACAAACATGTTCGCAGTTTTTTGTGGTTTCGACCTCCTTCTCGGTTTGCCGCCAGGCCAACGCCTCGCATCCCCTTCGGTGCAACTTCATCCATTCGTCTGCAGCGCAATGCGTGATTTGGTTCCTTCCGCATGTCCGACGCGGCCTCCTGTCGCGACTTTCTCGCCAAGGCGCCGTCTGGGCGCGGCTCTTGCCTGCTCGTCTCCTGCTCTTCGGCTCTGGCGGAGGCTTCGGCCCTCGCCGCCGGGTGAATCCAGGGGCCCCGGTCGCCCGCGCCCTCGGTGAGCACGCGCAGGGCATGCCCGCCCCTCGGCAATCCGCCCCTCCTGCCTCCGCCGAAAGAGGGGGAACCAGCAGGTATCCATACCGCCACTCCCCGGACCTCTCCTGGGGGTGCGTTCTGACCAGAATTCCGAGGCGGACCCAGCGGCGGCGGCGAGGGCCTGCCAGGAGGCCCACAGAGAGAAAACAAAAAAAAAAAAAACGAGCGAAGGGCAGCGGCATGGGCACCTTTTTCCGCCCCCGCCGAAAGGAGCTGAGCGAGTCGTCGTGCAGCGGGTGGCCCGAGGAGCCGGCGCCCAGCTCGTAGTACGCGTCCGCGAGCAGCAGCGGGGGCGGGCCGCCGCCGAGCAGCGGCCCGACCAGGCGGGCGGCGGGCCCGGCGGCCCAGAAGTCGCGCGCCGCCGCGCTGTGCAGGGAGGGCCCGTACCGCACCGCCCGGAACTTGTCCTGCGGGGCCGAGAGCAGGGGACCGGGGGTCCCATTCACCCTCGGGAGAGGGAAGAGTCGCGACGGAGAACCCGTTGCCATTTTCGGCCCCTGGGGGCCCTCACCCGGCCTTGGGACAATCAGTAGTTAGTCAGGATGAAGAACGGGTCTCGAGGAGTGGGTCGCGACCCTTGGGGATCGACGTTATGAACAAGTTCTGAGGTGGGGGGTCTTGGATCAGAGGGGGAGGGGGGCCTTCTGGAGCGCCCTCGGTACTGCTCGGAGGCACGGCAGGGAGGGAGGGCGGGAGGGAGAGACAGAGAGAGGGGAGACGAAGAGTGCGGAGCAGAGGAGAGGAGAGGAGAAGAGAGGAGAGAGAAGAGGAGAGGAGAGGAGAGGTAGAGGAGAGGCGAGGAGAGAGAGGAGAGGAGAGGAGAGGAGGGGAGGGGAGGGGAGAGGAGAGGAGAGGAGAGGAGAGATATGGCAACAAGGGGGATGAGGGCGAGTGAAGACGAGGCGGAAGAGGTCAAGAAGACGTGGATGTCTGGAGGAAGGCGACGGCGATAACTGGATGGATAGGAGGATGAGTAAGGGACAAGGTTAAGAAGAACGAACACATCTTGAGAAAGAGCGGGAGGCGGATTGCGAGGAAGAGCAGTGAGAGGGATAATCGGAGGAGGGGGCCCAGCAGGAGGCAGAAAGCGAGCAGGAGGAGACGTCGGATGAGGGTGCGGATTGAGAAGGGAGCGGAAGCGAGGCACAGCAGCACAGGAAGCTCCAGGTGGTCATGGGGACGACGATGAGGAATTCGAGTGGGAAGGGGAAGAGAAGAGGGATGACACCCAGGGCAGAGGGGAGAGCAGGAAGGAACGTGAGGCATGATCCGTCCGCCCTCGTCCTACCCCCGCGCAGATCATCCCTCCACCTCGTGCCACTCCAACATCCTGAGCCATCCCCTGCCCCCTCATCATACCCATTCCCTCTCCCTCCTCATCTCCCTACACATCCCTCATTCTCCCCTGCTGCTCCGATGACAAGGAGGACGACCGACAAGCGACAAGAGACACCGACGTGAGCGGCGAACAACACGGCGAGGATTGCTGGATTCATCAATTCAAATGCGCTCGGGCGATTCCAACGATGCTCCTTTGGCCATCAACCATGGGTCTCCTACTGGCGTTCCGTATAAATCAGGTGTTCTGAAACAAAAATATTGATCACAGCCATTGAAGCCAGCAGGCCCAGGGAGGGATGCCAAGCACGCATCCAGTCAGACGTGGGAGAACAGTGGAGCAAGCAAGTGACGCGCAACCGATGCTCACGATGTTTGCCACTCGAAGTACTTTTCCCGTGCGTGTGCATGGCATCCAAGTCCCCGTCCAAGTTTCCACTGCCTCCGCTACGTAGCGGCCAATACTGTACATGAGCAGTATTTCGTTGAAGACGGCTTGCCCTGTCGTATGCGCCACGTCGCAGGCCACGTCGAACCGATTCGTGGTATCGGTAAGGGTCTGCTTGGAGGCGTCGTTAGCTGCGAAGCCCTGACCAATCGTAGCGTCGCGCCGCGCCCTTGTCCACAACCTGTCTCAATGTCTCCCAGCAAGTCACGCACCAACGCCTCGCCGCCGTGCCCCACGTGGACTGCGGGAACCAGGGCCAACACGGCTGAAGTGATCTCGGAGGCGGCTGCGGGGTCTGAACTGGTTGGGACCCCAAAGAATCTGCCAGCAAGGGGGAACGAAGCCACATCCGCTAAAGCTCGGTCCCAAAAACCCTCCTGGTCCATCCGGTGCAATTTGGCAGTTTTCACCCTGGATCAGTTTTTCTCGGGGATGGACGGACCCCCCTTTAGCAAAGCGTGGTTTAGTGAAAACGACCTGAGGCCCAAACCTGGCGGGCGCAAGCCTGGAAAATAACGGCCACGGCACCCTCTCGAGAGCCGAAAACGGACCATTCACTAATCGACGAGTCACTGTTGGGGGTTCTGTCCACCCCCGATTTCCACGGCCCTTGGGCCCGGACACGGTCCCCGGAGGCCGACGAAGGCGAGAAACCGAGTGGAACCCAGCACCTCGAACCTCGCCCACCACTCGTCCTCGCCGGAGCCAATGTGAAGGGGCCCCAGGACACACAAATGAATACACACAAATAAAAACTGTCCCCCATATTTTCCCATATTTTCTGGGTCTCTGTCTTCCCCCCACTTCCCATATTTTCCCATACTTTCTGGGGAATCGACAATTAATTGTGTCTGTGTGTTTTTTCCCCTCCTGACAATGCCGGGCCACCTTGGACTCGCAGGCGGGTCCAAGGTGGACTGGTGCAGCCGGGGCCAACACGGCATGACTGGTCAGCAGTGTGTCTTGGTTCACGGAGCCGCTCGTCGCGCTGGAGGGCAAGGCCCTGGGTCGCACTGGCCGCGGAGGCCCCGCCCTCAACAGCCTCGCGCGCGGTGGGAGCTGCTTCGTGGGGGGGCGATAAATGATGAAGGGGCCCTGGGGCACACAAATAAATAGGCACAAATAACCGGATTCCCCATATTTTCCATTCTGGGGGGTCGACGGTTAATTGTGTCTGTCTGTCTTGTTCCCTCCTGAAGAATGGAGGCGAAGAAGCGTGCACCTCGCGTGCCCCTTTTGGGCCCCAGGGGGCCAGACGAGGCACCCTCCAGGGCACAGGAGGTGCATCCTTCTTCAAACCCCGATTCCTCGCCCCTCCAGCACAAGCGCACGACGAAAACACGCGGCGAAGACGCTGGCGCCTGGGGGCCGCAACTCGAGGCGGCCCCGCACCACCCGCCCGTCTGCGACCCGCCAGGGGCGACCCAGCCGCTCTTTGCAAAATGGTGCGCCTGCGAAGTGGCATGTTGCTCAAGACACGGTGGCGACACCATGGTTCAAGCCCAACTGGCCATTGACAACGATAACGACGTCGACGACGGAGCGATGGCAGCGAAGATGACGATCGACAATCGAAGAGGACTGCCATCATCGATGACGGACGCCGACGTTGGCGATGCACGAAGACGATTGACGACGAGACGACTGACGAGGCCGAGCGGAGACGTCCCTCAGGCGTGCGCGTGAGGGCGATGAACCCGGGATGAGGAAGGATGGAAGGGAGATGCGGGGACCACGGGAGAGAGGGGAGGATATGAGGGATGCGAAAAGGGGGGAGGAGGACGGTGATGATGAGGGGGAGAGAACAAAAATAAAAGTAAACATGAGAAGAAAAGGACAGGAGAAGGCGGAGCAAGGAGCGAAAACAAATGGTTGGCAAATGAGGAGGGCGTGGAAATGGACGGAGGCGGTAAACCGTGTGGGTGGCAGTTGACGCCAGAATGGAAAGTTGAAAAGGAGTCGAGGTACACTGGACCCCTGCCTGCAGACGTCGTCGTTGGCCGAGGGGCTGCAGATAGGTCCAAACGACGACGACGACGACAATGACGACGACGACGACGACGACGAAGGCTGCCGAGGGCTACCGAGAGCCGCCGAAGGCCGCCCAAGGCCGCCCAGGGCCTCAGGAGCGGGTCCCGCAGGTGCGGCAGCGCCAGCCTGGCCCACAAGGGCGTCGAGAGGCCCGAGAGCTCCGGCAGCAGCAGGCGCTCCACCTGGCCGCCGGGGGGTGGAACACCACACGTTCTGATGGCTACCAGAGGCCATGAAAACGTAGCTTAGCTGGAACATCACACGTTCTTATGGCCACTGGTGGGCATAAGAATGGGTGCTGCGCCATCTGGGGAGGCCAAAGGACGCGGCGACATCCGGCGGCGCGCGGAGGGAGGAGGGGGAGGGAGGTAATACGATCGCGAGGATCGGCGACCAATTCTGGCGGGCGCTCTCCAGCTCTTGGCCCCCAGGAGCTAGTGGGGGCTACCGAAGGCCTCCCAAGGCCTCTAGAGACATCCAACGATTGTCGAAGAAGGAGGGAGGGGGGGAGGCGGGGGAAGGAGATTGGGCGAGCCAGAGGGAGAGGGGTCGGCCCAACGGCGCGATGACTTTGGGCAGCGCGGGGGGGGGGAGGGGGAGGACCAGAGTGCACACAAAAACCCACCAGGCCTGTATGCTTATCGTTGCCGATCTGGACTGCGTGATCAGAATTTTAAAAGTCTGGGGTTATTTCCCTGGTGGGAAACCATGGGAAGGGCTACGCGAGACGTCAAACATGTAAATGCTTGCCATGAGGGGAACAGGGGACCTAGCGGAAACGGGTGCTGGATTCTTGGGACGAGAAACCGAAAACGGCAAACCAACCTCCGGGTTCCTTCCATACCTCGTATTACGAGTCGCACAAGCACACACGACCCCAGCAGACTGGCCAGCACCTCCATGGGCACCAGCGGGTGCTCGAGGTAGCACAACTGGATTCGCGGGAAGCGCAACCATCCCCTAGAACTCGCGCCTGGAAGGGTTGTTGCGGGAACGTAAGTCACGAACTTGAAAGCTCGCGGGCCGCAGAGACGCCGAACAAGCTGAGGATGCAACCATGTGCACTGCTGGCTGCCTCTACGAGCAGACGTCCAGCGTCCCTAGATGGAGTCGGGGTAGATGGTGTCGGAAGACCGCGCCGCATCGGTGATACATCGGTGGCTTCGTCGATGCATCGGCGCCGACGGGTCATGGAGGTACTCTGGCTCCACATCGAGCCTCATCGCCAATGCATCGGCGAAGCGGCGCGATCCTCCGACCCAATCTACTCGGACCCCATCTGGGAGGCCTAGATGGGCCCAACACTGCTCGCACACTCCAGGATGCGCCAGTCCGGGCAGCACCGCCGCGGGAACCAGCAAGTACCACCGCGCGGCGATGAGCTCGGCGGCCACCGACTGCCGTGATCGCTTTTTTCTGGCGTCCCATCGAGGGCCTCCAGAGAAGGAGACCCCGGGAGACTTCTGGACAGGGGAGGAGACGGAGGCGGGATGGAACGGAATGCCCCCGAGGGGAAGAGTGCACAGCACAAAGATATCTAGCACAAGCTGGAGGTGCTGGCTTCGCTTGGAGGCTTCACGCATACGGCAGAGAAGGCGGGAGGAGGAGTGAGACGAAGCACGGGCGAGGATAAAATCGGGTGAGGATGAATCGAGAGTCTCTAAGATCTGGCGGCTCTGGAGGACGCATCGGGCGCCGCGGCCTTCTCAGAGCCTTCCGGCGAAGAGGCTGGACCCAGCTTGGGCGTCGCCGAATGGGGGGCGAGAGAGAGGTGCACTTTTCGGCCCCCATTTTGGGCCCCTTTCGGGGCCGTGAAGGGCCCCTTTTGTGCAGCCCTCGCTGACCCCCCCAAATGCATCGCCCCCCCCCCCCCCCCCACGCGACGCCCAAGAAGTCCTCCAGAGTCAGGGTCTGGCCAACCCCTGCCGACGGCGCCATCGCGACAGGCAGGCGACAGAGAAACAACCCCTCGGAGCGCACGGGCGCTTGGCGCCGATATCGAATACGGAGGCCTCTCGCGCACCGAGAGTTCGACTCTGCGGGTAGGCCCCCCCCCCCCCAGCGCGACGCCCAGCCAGCGCTGTTCACACACTTCCGGAGCCGCCAGCTCGGGCGGCACCGCCTCGGGCACCAGCACGTGCCCCCGCGCCGCGAAGTGCTCGGCGGCGCCCTCCGGCAGGCCCCGCTCGGCGGCCTCCGCCCACAGCGCCCTCGCGGGGGCGCTCGGGGGCGGCAGCGGGGGCGCGCGGCCCTGGCCCAGGGCGATCGCCAGGGCCGCCGCGGCCGCGGCGACGGCCAGGGCGCCTGCGGTGGCGGCGGTCGCGCTCATGCCTCCTCGGCGC